TTTGGTCGTCATACAGTTTGACATTTATAACTTCTACACTAGAGACAACAACGTGTTCTACAGTATGTTTTGTTCATTATCTTACTGACTCGATTACTCACTGACCTACTGACTCAATAACTTACTGACTCAATAACCTGATCTACTGACTCAATAACTTACTTTCTTACTGACTCAATAACCTGACCTACTGACTCAATAACCTGACCTACTGACTCAATTACTCACTGGCCTACTGACTCAATTACTCACTGACCTACTGACTCAATAACCTGACCTGCTGACTCAATTACTCACTGACCTACGACCAATTACTCACTGACTTACTGACTCAATAACCTGACCTACTGACTCAATAACTCACTGACTTACTGACTCAATAACCTGACCTACTGACTCAATTACTCACTGACCTACTGACTCATAACTCACTGACTTACTGACTCAATAACCTGACCTACTGACTCAATTACTCACTGACCTACTGACTCAATAACTCACTGACTTACTGACTCAATAACCTGACCTACTGACTCAATTACTCACTGGCCTACTGACTCAATTCTACTGACCTACTGACTCAATAACTCACTGACTTACTGACTCAATAACCTGACCTACTGACTCAATTACTCACTGACCTACTGACTCAATTACTCACTGACCTACTGACTCAATTACTCACTGACTTACTGACTCAATAACCTGACCTACTGACTCAATTACTCACTGACACTGACTCAATAACCTGACCTACTGACTCAATTACTCACTGACCTACTGACTCAATTACTCACTGACCTACTGACTCAATAACTCACTGACTTACTGACTCAATAACCTGACCTACTGACTCAATAACTCACTGACTTACTGACTCAATAACCTGACCTACTGACTCAATTATACTGACCTACTGACTCAATAACTCCTGACTTACTGACTCAATAACCTGACCTACTGACTCAATTACTCACTGACCTACTGACTCAATAACTCACTGACTTACTGACTCAATAACCTGACCTACTGACTCAATTACTCTGACCTACTGACTCAATAACTCACTGACTTACTGACTCAATAACCTGACCTACTGACTCAATTCACTCACTGGCCTACTGACTCAATTACTCACTGACCTACTGACTCAATAACTCACTGACTTACTGACTCAATAACCTGACCTACTGACTCAATTACTCACTGACCTACTGACTCAATAACTCACTGACTTACTGACTCAATAACCTGACCTACTGACTCAATTACTCACTGACCTACTGACTCAATAACTCACTGACTTACTGACTCAATAACCTGACCTACTGACTCAATTACTCACTGACCTACTGACTCAATAACTCACTGACTTACTGACTCAATAACCTGACCTACTGACTCAATTACTCACTGACTCAATAACTCACTGACCCACTACCTCCTGCGTAACTCACTGACTCACTGACCCAGCCTCATTGTACCTCCCCTCACCTGTCCAGCCTCATCGTGCACCTCACCTCACCTGTCCAGCCTCATCGTGCACCTCACCCTCCCCTCCCCAGCCTCATTGTACACCTCCCCTCACCTGCCCAGCCTCATTGTACACCTCCCCTCACCTGTCAGCCTCATCGTCACCTCACCCTCACCTGCCCAGCCTCATTGTACACCTCCCCCTCACCTGTCCAGCCTCATCGTGCACCTCACCCTCCACTGCCCAGCCTCATTGTACACCTCCCCTCACCTGTCCAGCCTCATCGTGCACCTCACCCTCACCTGCCCAGCCTCATTGTACACCTCCCCCTCACCTGCCCAGCCTCATTGTACACCTCCCCCACCTGTCCAGCCTCATCGTGCACCTCACCCTCACCTGCCCAGCCTCATTGTAAACCTCCTTCACCTGCCCAGCCTCAATGTACACCTTCACCCCCTCACCTGCCCAGCCTCATTGTACACCTCCCCCTCACCTGTCCAGCCTCATCGTGCACCTCACCCTCACCTGCCCAGCCTCATTGTACACCTCCCCCCTGCGCCAGCCTCATCGTGCACCTCACCCTCACCTGCCCAGCCTCATCGTGCACCTCACCCTCACCTGCCCAGCCTCATTGTAAACCTCCCCCTTCACCTGCCCAGCCCTCAATTGCACCTTCACCCCTCACCTGCCCAGCCTCATCGTGCACCTCACCTTCACCTGCCCAGCCTCAATGTACACCTTCACCCCCTCACCTGCCCAGCCTCATTGTACACCTCCCCTCACCTGCCCAGCCTCATCGTGCACCTCACCCTCACCTGCCCAGCCTCATTGTAAACCTCCCCTTCACCTGCTCAGCCTCAATGTACACCTTCACCCCCTCACCTGCCCAGCCTCATCATGCACCTCACCCTCACCTGCCCAACCTCAATACACACCCTCAACTGCCCAGCCCGTCATGCACCTTCACCCCTCACCTGCCCAGCCTCATTGTACACTTCCCCTTACCTGCTCAGCCTCATCATGCACCTCCCCTCACCTGCCTCCCTCCTCATCGTGCACCTCCAACTCACTTGCCCAGCCTCATTGCACACCCTCACCTGCACCATCCAGTCTCCAGGTGTCGTGAGAAAGTTACAGGATGTATTTAGTGATTAATCTGTCTGTCTGTCTGTCTATCTGTCTGTCTATATGTCTGTCTGTTTGTCTGTCTGTCTGTCTTGTCTATATGTCTGTCTGTCTGTCTATGTCTGTCTGTTTGTCTGTCTGTCTGTCTGTCTGTCTATATGTCTGTCTGTTTGTCTGTCTGTCACGTTGGGGTGTTACCTGGGTGGTGTCTTAGGCCCTGTCTATCACTGTCACTCACTCACTCCACTCACTCACTCACTCACTCACTCACACACACACAATCATTCACTCACACACACTACCCACTCACTCCTCACTCACACACACTCACTCACACACTCACTCCACACACTCCACACACTCCTCCTCACTCACTCACTCCACTCCTCACACACTCACACTCACACACACTCACTCACACACTCCCACACACACTCACTCCCACTCCACTCATACACTCACTCACTCACTCACACACTTACTCACACACACTCACTCACTCACACACTTACTCACACACACTCACTCACTCACTCACTCACTCACTCCATCCCTCCACTCCACACACACTCACTCCTCCCACTCCATCACACTCACCCCACTCACTCCTCCTCACTCACTCACTCACACACTCACACCCACCTCACTCACTCCCACTCACTCCCACTCACTCACTCATACACTCCACTCACACACTCACTCACTCACTCACTCCTCCTCCCACTCACTCACTCAGTCATACACTCGCTCACTCACTCACTCCCACTCACTCACTCCATCACTCCTCACTCCCTCATACACACACTCACTCACTCACTCACACACTCCTCACTCACTCATACACTCACACACTCCACTCACTCCTCCACACACACTTACTCACACACACTCCCACTCACTACACACTCACCTCTCACTCACACACCCCTCACTCACTCACTCACACACCCATGTCTCTCTCACTCCCACTCACTCATCACTCACTCCACACATCTCACTCACTCACACTTACTCACACACACTCACTCACTCACACCCACAGCCTCTCTCACTCACTCACTCCTACACTCACTCACACACTCACTCACTCACTCACTCACTCACTCACACACACACACACACTCCCACTCCCACTCACTCCCTCCCATACACTCTCACACACTCACTCACTCACTCCCACACACACACCTCTCACACACACTCACACTCCCACTCACTCACTCACACACTTATTCACACACACTCACTCACTCACTCACTCATACACTCACTCACTCACTCACTCATACACCCATGTCTCTCTCCCATCTGACTAAATATACACAAAAATGAACACATGCACAATACATATGTTATACAGTACACCACTAGTCCCTCAACATACATACATACATATAATACATACATACATACATACATACATACATACATACATACATACATACATACATACATACACCAACAAAGAGACTTAGGTCCCGTGTGTTCGGCGTTTGAGTTAAGTTAGTGGATATTATGATCTCACCGTCTTGTACACATCAGGAGGCTGAGAGGTACCATCCCTCATATGTCTTGTTGAGGGTAAGCCGTAAGTCTCGCTCGGGAGAAATATTGGGGAGAGGGAGGGAGGAGGGAGAGGGAGGGAGGGAGAAATATTGGGGAGAGGGAGGGAGGGAGGAAGGAGGAAGGAGGGGGGGTAGGAAGGGGAGGAAGATGTAGGAAGGAGAGGGAGGGAGGAGGTAGGAAGGGGTAAATATTGAGGAGGGTTATAAATAGGTGAGATGGTTTTACCGGGGTGGGGTGGGGTGCAGTGTGTGTGTGTGTGTGTGTGTGTGTGTGTGTGTGTGTGTGTGTGTGTGTGTGTGTATGTATTAACACATGTGCATATGCAGATGTGTGCATGTGGTAACCGTGTGTGTGTTTTTGTGTGCATGTAGTAAGCGTGTGTGTGTTTTGGGTGTGCATGTGTACCGTACGACTGTTTTTGATGTGTATGTATACCAATGAATTTATGTTTACCCAAAATACACACACACGCGTAGAGACAAAGGCGTTTATATACACAAGAAATAAACACACACACACACACACACGAACAGCCAGACAGACACCAACAAAGACAAAGAGACAGGAAATAGACAGCAGACACTCACAAGAGACAGGTAGCAGAGAACAAATACACAAACACAGACAGATACCAAAGCAGAGAGAGAGAGAGAGAGAGAGAGAGAGAGAGAGAGAAGAAGAGAGAAGAAGGTAAACAGACAGACGCACAGACAAGGCAGACAGACACACAGACAGAGACAGAGAACAGAGAGAGAGAGAGAAGAGAAGAGAGAGAGATAAACCAAGTCATCAACAGGTAACTCCCCCAACCCTCACCTGTGTACTCCCCCAACAGCGGTGAAGGTGCTGGAGGGACAAACACTAACTATAGGGAAGGTCTCCAGGCTGGACATGGGCGCCTACCTGTGTGTGGCCTCCAATGGCATCCAACCATCCGTCAGCAAGAGAATCCAACTCAAAGTCCAGTGTGAGTATGTCTCCTAGTGTACTCAAGTCTCCTAGGTGCATTAAATAAGTCTTCTAGTGTACTCACGTCTCCTAGGTGCAGTAATTAATTCTCCTAGTGTAGTCAAGTCTCCTAGGTGTAGTAACTAAGTCTCCTAGCGTACTCAAGTTTCCTAGGTGCATTAAATAAGTCTCCTATTATCATAATCAAGTCTCCTAGTATACTCAAGTCTCCTAGGTGCATTAAATAAATCTCCTAGGTGAATTAAATAAGTCTCCTAGTGTACTCAAGTCTCCTAGGTGCATTAAATAAGTCTCCTATTATCATAATCAAGTCTCCTAGTATACTCAAGTCTCCTAGGTGCATTAAATAAATCTCCTAGGTGAATTAAATAAGTCTCCTAGTGTACTCAAGTCCCTAGGTGCATTAAATAAGTCTCCTTGTGTACTCAAGTCTCTTAGGTGCATTAAATAAGTCTCCTGTCATCATAATTAGTCTCCTAGTCATTATTAAGTCTCCTGGTGTCATTATCAATCTCCTAACATCATTATTTGTCTCCTAGTATCATAATAAGTCTCCTAGCGTCACTAATTATTCTCCTAGTGTCATTATTAAGTCTCCTGGTGTCATTATTAAACCCCTTCTTCCCCTCTCTTTCATTATGGGTGCGGCTCTTCCCTTTGTATGTGGGCGTGATATTGGCGTGGGCGTGGCGTGGGCGTGGCGTGTGTACAGTTCCGCCCATGCTGTGGATCCCCAACCAGCTAGAAGGGGCGCGGACGGGTGACGCCATCGTACTCAAGTGCAACACAGAAGCCTTCCCCCGTTCCATTAACTACTGGACTAACTACAAGGGAGATGATAGCTGCTAGTGAGTGTATTACTTACTTACATACATACATACATACATACATACATACATACATATAGTTCATATATATACATACATACATACATACATACATACATACATACATGCGTACATACATACATACATACATACAGTACATACATACATACAGTATACATACGTACATACATACATACATACATACATACATACACATACAGTGAGGGCAAGGTGTGGGGTGAGGTGTGAGTGAGAGTGAGTGTGTGAGAGCGAGAGTTTAAGAGTGAGAGAGTGAGTGTGTGGTGAGTGTGAGTGAGGGTGTGTGGAGGTGAGAGTGGTGTGTGGTGAGAGTGTGAGTGAGTGTGTGGAGGTGAGGTGAGTGTGTGAGGAGGGGTTTAAGAGTGAGAGAGAGTGAGTGTGTGTGAGTGTGTGAGGTGAGAGTGTGAGTGGGTGTGTGAGTGAGTGTGTGAGTGTGTGAGGTGTAGGAATGAGTGAGTGAGTGTGTGTGAGTGAGTGTGTGAGTGAGTGTGTGAGTGTAAGAATGAGTGAGAGTGAGTGTATTGGAGTTAGTGTAAGGGTGAGAATAAATGAGTGAGTGTGTGTGTGTGTGTGTGTGTGTGTGTGTGTGTGTGTGTGTGTGTGAGTGAGTGAGTGAGTGAGTGAGTGAGTGAGTGAGTGAGAGTGTGGCCCATAGACAGTATAGTTTGATGGTGTTAATCTTGTGTCACCACCGCAACAGACACAGTCCCCTACCCTCTCTCCTGTCAGTCTCCGCCACACACACACCTCTCTTATCTCTCCCTCTCTCTCCCTCTCTCCTCTCTCTCCTCTCTCTCCCTCTCTCTCTCTCTCTCTCTGTTCTTGTTTTCCCTCTTAACTCCGTCGCTCTCCCCTTCTTACCTCCTTCTCCTCACCCTTTTACCTCCCACCTCCTCCCTAGTGTGTGGCCATACATATTGCCCACACTACTCGTCCTCGACTGTGTGAAGATAGAACCTTTGAGGGACAGGTCCAAGCACACTGTGTGTGAAATGGCACAACACTTCATCTCTAATGGCAAGATAGCCGACATATTAAGATTGTATCCACTTTTTTGCACTCAGTAACTATATCAGTTCTCATGTACAGAACCAAATACGCAATGTGCTTGAATACCTCCCACGTAAATGTGAATAACAAAGTGTGAGGCCAGACATACTGCCTCACACGCCTGTTCTCACGCATTTGTGAATAAGTTACCCTTTATGTATAGAACTAAACAAATAATGTAAATGAAATACTGTGTAACTTTCGGTGCCATAATATCCTGACAGCAAGGGTTAAGTATTTGCGTGCCTGTAAACCTGTAATCCTTTTGCGCTACCGCTCACAGGATGAGTGTGGGGTGCACAATAAAGTAACCGCTGCAAGCAACAAAATCAATCCTACCTCCCTATAACTAACACCAGGACGCGCCCACAGGCTCCAAGTACGAGACCACGACAAAAGAGGAGAGCTACAAGACCAACATGCGGCTCGTCATCCACAACCTGACGAAGGAAGACTTTAACACCTACCGCTGCATCGCTAAGAACAGCCTGGGGGAGACAGACGGCTCTATTAAACTCTATGGTCAGTCCTGCTATACCTGGTGTTGTGGTGTGGTTTTGGGTTAGGTTAGGTTAGGTTAGGTTAGGTTAGGTTACCTTTTAATATGTTAGTGTGTACCGTGGTAAAGTTATTGAGTGGTTGAGTACAAGAATGGACTCTGGACTCTGAAGCCTCCACAACCTGGCTGACACATCACAACCTCAGGAGGAGTTATACTAATGTTACCTTAATTCTTACCCTCAGAGATCGAGCCTCGGTCCCCTAAGGAGGAGTCGACCCAGGGCGCCCCAACCAATGGCCAGGCGGGGGAGGGGAGCGAGGGGGGGCAAGAGGATGCGGAGGGTGGCCAGGTGAACCACAACAACTCCAGTGAGGACGCGGAGAAGAACTACACGACAGAGAGGAGAGGCAAGACCCGGGGCAAGCAGACGCCCTCCAAGAAGACAGGCAGAGGTAAGACTCCTCCTCCTTGTGTTTGTTTTGGTACGTGTTTGTTGTCTACGTTGTTTGTTTTTATTATAGTTTGCCTCTGTGGTTATCGATATGTTTACTGCACTTGAGTTATACACGTATCTCTTCCGGATGTTTGCCACTTACAACATCTGTGTCTGGATTGGTTGTGTGTGTGTGTATGTGCGTGTGTGTGTCTGTGTATATATGTGTGTGTGTGTATTGTTTCTTTCTGTGTACTTGTCGTCTTCATTTCTCTATATGTTTTGGTTCATGCATATTATCTCCTGTTTGCTTTACCATTAACCTCTACTATCGCTTTATAAGTTATCTAACACCCGGTGACCTGCTGACGGTGAGGTAGGACCCGCGAGCCCCAGGTAAGGTGGTGGTCAGGGTGCTTCACTGTACCCAGGGTGTGTGTGGGGAGGGGGTCAGGGAGCCTCACTGTTCTCAAACTCCACCATCCTCCACCTCCATCCTCCACCTCCACCCATGCGCTCACACACTCCGCATCACACCTCCACCATCACCTCCACCTCCCTGTCCCACCTCCACCTCCACACTCCTGTCCATCTCCTCCACTCCACCGCCCACACTCCACCATCCACACACTCCTGCATCCTCCACACTCCACCATCACCTCCCCACCTCCACCCACCACCTCCCTCCACCATCACCTCCCTCCACCACCACCTCCACCTCCACGCCACATCCACCCATCTGCCTCCCTCCACCATCCTCCACCTCCACCATCACACTCCCACCTCCTACATCACCTCCACCTCCTGTCCCACACTCCCCCTCACCCATCACCTCCACTCACCATCACCTCCCTCCACCATCACACTCCACACTCCACCATCACACTCCACATTCCACACTCCACCACCACACTCCACCATCACACTCCACACTCCACCATCACACTCCACACTCCACCATCACACTCCACACTCCACCACCACACTCCACCATCACACTCCACTCTCTATCATTATCCACCCCTGTGTTACTCATCTCTTTATCTCTGTTTCTCTTATACACACAGACACTATCCCCAGTACTTTTCTTCCTCTTATATCCACTGCCCATGACTCACACCAGTACACACGTCAACAACCTAACCTAACCTAACCATACCTAACCTAACCTAACCTAACCTAACCCTCACAGACAAACCCTGACTTTACTCCCTTCACTAGTCCCCAGCACACCGCCCTCACGTTCTTTAACTCAGTTCATTACTATATAAGACTTCCTGGTTCTTGTCATTCATCGTGGCTTCAGTCTAGGTTTTATTTATCTTGACAACAGTCTTACAATCACTCACGCCTATCCAAACAGCCTGATTGTTTTTCTTTGTTATTTTTCTCAGTAAGATGTCCGTCATTACATTAGAAGTTAATCTTAAAGAAATAATCACATGGAGAGTAAAATACTGTAGTTTAGGTCTGTCTCGCCCCGGCTCCTCTGCTTCACAAGGGTTAAACGGATCTCGCCTTTAAAGCTACAAATACAGAAAATAGTTTGTCTACAAGCTGAGAATGGCCTTGTTCCGGCGGCACGACTCTCTCTCTCTCGCCGGGTCCACACTCTATTTTCCCTTTCAAATATCCAATTAATTGAAAGGGAAGAATTTCAATTAGAGAGGGTTGGTTTGATCTATGATTCCTCCTCTGTCTCTCTCTCTCTCTCTCTCTCTCTCTCTCTCTTTCTTTAATGTTTATCTTTCTTTCTTTTTTTATCTGCCGCAACACTAATGACAGATTTATCCTTCACGAATCATCTATTTGCAATTAGCTGAGCTACTCCTCACCCAACTTTATTTACCTTAAGTTTATAACGATATGGAAAGTTTGGTCTTGGGGAGAAAGAGATGGCGGAACTTGGCCAACCTGCAGGAGATTGAGCAGCAGGTGGGGGTGACGGAGGGGAGGGTGTGGGGGGGTGACGGAGGGGAGGGTGTGGGGGTGACGGGGAGGGTGTGGGGGTGACGGAGAGGAGGGTGTGGGGGGTGAGGAGAGAGGGAGGGAGGGAGGAGAGAGAGGGAGGGTGTGTGTGGGGGGTGAGATGTGAGGTGAGAGAATAGTGAAGGGTAGTGAAGGGAGAGAGTGTCTGATGGAGAGAGGGGGTTATGAAGGGGAGATAGGAGGGGTGAGGGGAGGGTTTCTAAGGGTGGTGAAGGAATCACATTCTGGCTGCCTTCACCACCTTTCCCACCACCACCATTACCACCACTAAAACCATCATCACCACCACCAGTACCATCATTACCACCATTACCCCACTAAAACCATCGTCACCACCACCAGCACCATCATTACCACCATTACCGGCACTACAACCATCATCACCACCACCAGTACCATCATTACCACCATTACCAGACTACAACCATCATCACCACCACCAGTACCATCATTACCACCATTACCACCACTACAACCATCATCACCACCACCAGTACCATCATTACCACCATTACCACCACTACAACCATCATCACCACCACCAGCACCATCATTACCACCATACACCACCACCACAACCATCACCACCACCAGCACCATCATTACCACCACACTCACCACACCACAACCATCACCCACCACCAGCACCACCACACCACCACCACCAGCACCACAAACCACCACCCCACCACCACCACCACCAACACCATCACCACCACCACCCACCACCACCACACCACCACCACCACCACCACCACTCTCACCACCACCACCATCACCACCACCACCACCACCACCACCACCACCACCACCACCACCACACCACCCCACCACCCCACCACACCACCACCACCACCACCACCCACCACACCACCACCACCCACCACCACCACCACCACCACCACCACCACCACCACCACCACCACCTCAACCACCACCACCACCACCACCACCACACCACATCACCACCACCACACCCCACACCACCACCACCACCACCAACCACCACCACCACCACCACCATCATCACCACCACCACCACCACCACCACCTCACCACCACCACCACCACCACCACCACCACCACCACCACCATCACCACCTCACCACCACCACCACCACCATCACCACCACCATCACCACCACCACCACCACCACCACCAACATCCACCACCACCACCACCACCACTACCACCACCATCACCACCACCACCACCACCACCACCACCACCACCACCACCACCATCACCATCACTACCACCACCACCACCACCACCACCACCACCATCACCACCACCCCAACCACCCACACCACCACCACCACCACCACCTCATCCACCACTGTCCTGACCCCCAACACTCGCCTTTCTCTTCGAATTTGTCATATTACACAAACTTATTGAAGAGAGAGAGAGAGAGAGAGAGAGAGAGAGAGAGAGAGAGAGATAATTATCTCACATCAACTCATCTCACTTAACTAACATACAACCAATAAATAGAAATTAATATCAAAATGGCGTCCGGACTACGCAGAGACTGCATAACATAGCCGTGGGTCCTCCTGGGCTTATGATAACAGAGGCTATTTTGTAAACTAACTTCTTTCTTCTTCTAATAAACTGACACTTCTTAAACCCTTACAACATAAGCACAATGAAGCCTAACCGACCCTAGCCTAACTAGCCTAACCTAACTAACTTCTAACCTAACCACAGAGCAGCAACAATAGACTCAGTTTCAGTGGTTGGAGTAGAGTTAAACATTGGTGACGTCACGAATCTATCTATCTGTATCTTATTCAAAGGTCATATCCAAGAGTCCATGAGATGGTATGTGTGTGTGTGTGTGTGGGTGTGTGGGTGTGGGTGTGGATGTGTGTGTGGAGTGTGGGGAGGTGTGTGTGGGTGTGTGGATGTGTGTGTGGGTGTGTGTGTGTGTGGGTGTGGGTGTGTGTGTGTGTGTGTGTGTGAAGGGAAAGAGTATAGAGGAAAGGGGCGTAAATGGAATAGGTGGGGGGATGTGGGGGGAGGATGAATGATGGGGGGGAGGGAGGGAAGGGAGGAAGGGAGGGAGGAGAGGAAGAGAAATAGAAGAGGAAATGAAATAGATGGTAGAGATCACTGTACATAGGGACTCCCAGATACTCTATATACGTGTTAACTGTACATCGTAAACCAGAAATTTATACCCACATGTTTTATTAACGTCAGGTTAGGTTAGGTTAGGTTAAGTTAGGTTAGGCGGTGATACGACGGTAGGTTAGGGTAAGTTAAGCTAGGTTAGGTTAGGTTAAGGCTGTGTGAGGTTAGATTTAGGCCATGCAGTGTTAGGTTAGGTTAGGTCACAGGTTGGTGCGTCTCTAAAACAGCAGAAATGTTTAATAATGCCGTTATGTGACCTCAGTGGTGGACAGCCTCTCTATCATGGTAAAGGTGTCGACCCTATCCTCAGCTATCCTGCAGTACACTCGTTGTGTCATGTTGAAGGTGTCGACCCTATCCTCAGCTATCCTGCAGTACACTCGTTGTGTCATGTTGAAGGTGTCGACCCTATCCTCAGCTATCCTGCAGTACACTCGTTGTGTCATGTTGAAGGTGTCGACTCTATCCTCAGCTATCCTGCCGTACACTCGTTGTGTCATGTTGAAGGTGTCGACCCTATCCTCAGCTATCCTGCTGTACACTCGTTGTGTCATGTTGAAGGTGTCGACCCTATCCTCAGCTATCCTGCCGTACACTCGTTGTGTCATGTTGAAGGTGTCGACCCTATCCTCAGCTATCCTGCCGCACACTGTCGCCGGGGTCATCACCTTCCTCAAACAACCTTCGTTACTCAGGTTTTTTCCTCTCGCCAGGGACCAATATAGTCCTCCTCTCCACCTGTATGTCCTCCATCTCTCTTAAGCCGTCATTTCCTCCTCTCGCTACCTGCTCACGGTAACCGAATCTCCTTTTTCACTCAGGTTAACCGAACGAAAGGGATAAATAATTCAGAGAGTGTGGAGGCAAGGCGTCACGCGCTCCCCGGTGACAAACGGCGCGATAAAGAGTCGTAAAAATGTGTGAGATTATGTGATTGTGGCCACCGTTTGTTACTGTGGTAAGGGGGTACCTCCTCCAGGGGGTGTGGAGAAGGGGGTACCTCCTCCAGGGGGTGTGGGAGAAGGGGGTACCTCCTCCAGGGGTGTGGAGAAGGGGGTACCTCCGTGTGTGGTAACAGGAAAGAGTACCTCCTCCAGGGGGTGTAGAGAAGAGGTTACCCTCCTCCAGGGGGTGTGGAGAAGAGGGTACCTCCTCCAGGGGTGGGAGGGTACCTCCTCCAGGGGTGTGGAGAAGGGGGTACCTCCTCCAGGGGTGGTGTGGAGAAGGGGGTACCTCCTCCAGGGGTGTGGAGAAGAGGGTACCCTCCAGCGTGGGAGAAGAGGGCACTCTCCTCCAGGGGTGGAGAAGAGGGTACCTCCTCCAGGGGGTGTGGAGAAGAGGTACCTCCTCCAGGGATGTGGAGAAGAGGGTACCTCCTCCAGGGGGGTGTGTGGAGAAGAGGGTACCTCCTCCAGGGGGTGTGGAGAAGAGGGTACTCCAGGGGTGGGAAAAAGGGGCATCCTCCAGTGTGGAGAAGGGGCACTCTCCAGGGGTGTGGAGAAGGGCACCTCCAGGGGTGGAGAAGGGGTACCTCCGGGGTGTGGAGAAGGGGTACCCAGGGGGGTGAGAGAAGAGGTACCTCCTCCAGTGGAGAAGGGCACCTCCAGGGGGTGTAGAGAAGGGGTACCTCCAGGGGTGTAGAGAAGGCACCTCCTCCAGGGGTGGAGAAGGGGTACCTCCTCCAGGGGTGTAGAGAAGAGGGTATCTCTCCAGGGGTGGAGAAGGGGCACCCTCCAGGGGTGTAGAGAAGAGGGTACCTCCTCCAGGGGTGGAGAAGTACTCTCCAGGGGGTGTGTGAGAAGGCACTCTCCAGGGGGTGTAGAGAAGAGGGCACTCCAGGGGGTGTGAGGCACCCAGGGGTGTGGAGAGGGGTACTTCCAGGGGTTGTGGAGAAGGGGTGTAGAGAAGAGGTACCTCTCCAGGGGTGTAGAGAAGAGGGGCTCTCCAGGGGGGTGGGAGAAGGGGCACCCAGGGGTGGAGAAGGGGTACCTCCAGGGGTGTGGAGAAGGGGGCCCAGGGGTGTAGAGAGGGGCACCCTCCAGGGGTGTGGAGAAGGGGGCACTCTCCAGGGGTGTGGAGAAGGGGCATTCAGGGGTGGGAGAAGGGGCACCCCTCCAGGGGGTGGAGAAGAGGGTACCTTCCAGGGGTGTGAGAAGGGGCACTTCTCCAGGGGTGGAGAAGAGGCACATAAGAACATA